GCAGACCGGGAGCCTCCCCCCCCCCCGGTAAGTAGATTTTTCAACTTGGCAACCCTATCATTGACTGTTGGGAAGACCAGTTCTGGGAAAGGGGGACGGGGTGGAGTGTGTCCCCGCTGACTCCCCATCGATACCATAGAGACTAGGGCATAGACCAGGGGTGGCCAAACTTGCTTAACGTAAGAGCCACATAGAATAAACATCAGATGTTTGAGAACCGCAAGACATGAACAAATATTACACACATGTTTTTATTGAAAAATAATGCAAATTTGCTTTTTATGAACATTCATTTAGACTGTGTGAAAGAGCCACGTGCGGCTCCCGAGATGCAGTTTGGCCACCCCTGGCAGAAACGGCGGTATCCTTCTCTCCCAAGGAGCCAAGATGGCAATTATGGGCATTGTGAGACACCCCCTGGGGATCCCGTCAGCACACTGACACACCCTCCTCTCCCTCGGCGTCCTCCCTCCTCTCTTCCCCAGCCTCTCAACATATTAAGGAGATGGCTAAGTCACCACCCGTTTCCGCTAAAAACAGGACTGAAGTAAAGCATAAGCCTTGACATGGCACAAGAAACGATACAAAAATTACACTGCAAGATCCTAATTTCGGTAACTTAAACACAGTAGCATAGACCACAGTCCTTAACGATTTACGTAAGTAACCTTGTAGGTCATTTAGTACAGTCCAACTCTCTTGCCGGCGTAGAAAAGCTCTCTTGCATCGTTTTGCATGGTTTCCAAAAAGCTGGGAGAGTGGGAGCCTTCCTCGCCTCCCCGGGTAGGCCATTCCTTACGGCGGGGGCCACAGCAGAGAAGGCACAGGTATGGGCATTTGTTGGCTTTGCCCATTTGCAGGTTCGTACCTGCAGAAGACCTTTTTTGGATGAGTGAAGCTGTCATGGTGGCGCATAATGGGAGAGGCGGTCCTGCAAATTGGAGGGTCTAAGGCAATGAAGGACTTTCTTTGTAGCAGGTACTCATTTGCATATTAAGCGACACACCCCTAATGTAGCCAATCCTCCAAGAGCTTACAGTAGCTCCTGTAAGAAGAGCTCTATAAGCTCTTGGAAGATTGGCTACATTAGGGGTGTGTGGCCTAATATGCAAAGGAGTTCCTGCTACAAAAAGCCCTGGAGCCCATACTTTAAATTGAGCCCAGTGACTGTGGGGCAGCCAGTGGAGTGACTGTAGGATGGGAATAATCTGCTTGCTCCCTCTAGCTCCCGGTAATAGCTGAGCCGTGGCGTTGTGCACCAATTGGGAGTTTCTGAATTGATTTTGAGGGAAGACCAATGGACAGTGCAACGAGGTTTGAGTCCAGGGGCACCTTTAAGACCAGCCAAGTTTTATTCTGGGCATAAACTTCCGTGTAGTTCTATCTGAAGAAGTGTGCATGAAAACAAGAGCTTATACCCAGAATAAAACTTTGTTGGTCATAGAATTATAGAGTTGGAAGGGACCTCCATGGTCATCTAATCCAACCCTCTGCACAATGCAGGAGATTCACAACTACCTCCTCCAGCACCCCCAGTGACCCCTGCTTTATGCCCAGAAGAGGGCAAGAAACAACAACAACCACCCTCCAGGATCCCTGGTCAAACTGGCCTGGAGAAAATTGCTTCCTGACCCCAAAGAGGCAATCAGCATTTCCTTGGATGCATAAGAAAGTGCCACAAGAACTAAGCACTGAGGCAACCCTTTCTGCCCTCCCTCTCATGATCTGCCTAAGTTCATAGAATCAGCATTGCTGTCAGTTGGCCATCTAGCCCTTGTTTGAAAACCTCCAAAGAAGGAGAGCCCACCACCTCCCGAGGCTCTGTCAGGAAGTTTCAAACATTGCTAAAGATCTTTCTATAGTCTGAGCATTTTGAACATTTCTTCCTGTTTAGGGTAAGATAGATTCAAGCTTTCTGTTGTTCAGTCGCACAGTCAAGTCCGACTCTTTGTGACCCCATGGACCACATCACACCAGGCCCTCCTGTCTTCCGTCGTGCTCCGAAGTTTGCTTAATTTCATGTTCATTGCCTCGTAACACTGTCTAACCATCTCATCCTTTGCCGTCCCCTTCTTTGACCTTCAATCTTTCCCAGCATCAGGGTCTTCTCCAGTGAGGGCTCCCTTCTCATTTGGTGGCCAAAGTATCTGAGCTTCAGCTTCAGTATCTGGCCTTCCAGGGAACAGTCAGGGTTGATTTCTTTTAGGATTGACTGATTTGATCTCCTTGCAGTCCAAGGGACTCTCAAGAGTCTTCTCCAGCACCATAGTTCAAAAGAATCTATTCTTTGGCACTCGGTCTTATAGTCCAACTCTCGCAGCCATATATTACTACTGGGAATAGGGTTAGGGTTAGGGATGCTGGAGACTCTTGCAGCCATATATTACTACTGGGAATACCATTGTTTTGACCATACGGACTTTTGTTGTCAAGGTGATGTCTCTACTTTTTACACAAGTTTATATAGTTTCAATGCTTTATATGGTCTGTGGTTGTCTTTTAGATGTTAAATAAGAGTAAAGCTCTTTTCACAGGCTGAGCAGTTGCATGGTTTCTCCTTGTGTGGGTTCTTAGATGCTGTCAAAGACTGGCATGCAGACTTGAATTTCTTTCCACACTCTGAGCATTCAAAAGGGTTGTGTGGGTTCTTTGATGTGTGTGGGTTCTTTGATGCAGTTGAAGATTGCTACTCTGACTAAATCTGTTTCCACACTCTGAGCACTGAAAAAGCTTCCTCCGTAAGGTGGACTCCTTGATACTAAAGGAGAGATCAGTTGACCCTGCAACCAGCAGAGCACATTGCCCATCCTTGCTTTCTTCCCTTTGTGATCTTTTTGAGGTTTTGAACATGGCAAAAGCTCTTTTCATAGCCCGAGCATTTATGACATTTCTTCCTAGTTAAGGTGTGGATTCAAGTTTTTACAACAGTTTACATCTTTTCAGTGCTTTGTATGGTCTGTGGTCTTTTAGGTGTGAACTAGGAAAAAAGCTGTTTTCACGGGCTAAGCAGTTACCTGGTTTCTCCTTGTGTGGGCTCTTTAATGCAGTTGAAAATGGCCACTCTGACTGAATCTCTTTCCACACTCTGACCATTCAAAAAGTTACTCCCTGTGTGGGTTCTTAGATGCTTTCGAAGACTGCTACTCCAACAGAATCTCTTTCCGCAGTCTGAGCATTCAAAAGGTTTCTGCCCTGTGTGGGTTATTTGATGGCGTTCAAGTTGGTCTATCCAGGTAAATCTCTTTTCACACTGTGAGCACTCAAAAGGTTTCTCCCCTGTGTGGGTTCTTTGATGATTTCGAAGAGCGCTACTCCAACAGAATCTCTTTCCACAGTCTGAGCATTCAAAAGGTTTCTCCCCTGTGTGGGTTATTTGATGCTGTTGAAGTTGTTCTCTCCAGGTAAACCTCTTCCCACACTGTAAGCACTCAAAAGGTTTCTCCCCTGTGTGGATACTTCCGTGCAATTGAAGAGTGCCACTCTGACTGAATCTTTTTCCACACACTGAGCATTCAAAAGGTTTCTCCCCTGTGTGGGTTCTTAGATGTCGTTGAAGATTGCCACTGTGACTGAATTTCTTTCCACATAATGAGCATTCAAAAGGTTTCTCCCCTGTGTGGGTTCTTTGGTGCAGTTGAAGAGTGCCATTGTGACTGAATTTCTTTTCACACACTGAGCATTCAAAAGGTTTCTCTCCTGTGTGGGTTCTTCGGTGCAGTTGAAGAGTGCCACTCTGACTGAATTTCTTTCCACACACTGAGCATAGAAAAGGTTTCTCCCCCGTGTGGGTTCTTAGATGCTTTTGCAGATGGAAACTCTGACTGAATCTCTTTCCACACTCTGAACATTCAAAAGGTTTCTCCCCAGTGTGGGTTGTCAGATGCTGTTGAAGATTGCCACTCTGACTGAATCTCTTTCCACACTCTGAGCATTCAAAAGGTTTTTCCCCTGTGTGGGTTGTGAGATGCTTTTGAAAAGTGTTATTCAACCTGAATCTCCTTCCACACTCTGAGCACTCAAAAGGTTTCTCTCCTGTGTGGGTACTTTGGTGCAGCTGAAGAGTGCCACTCTGACTGAATCTCTTTCCACACACTGAGCATTCATAGGGTTTCTCTACAGAGTGGGTTCTCTGATGCCGTTGAAGATTACCACTCCTACTGAATTTCCTTCCACAGTCTGAGCATTCAAAAGGTTTCTCCCCTGTGTGGGTTCTTTGGTGCAGTTGAAGTGTGCCACTCTGACTGAATTTCTTTCCACACTCTGAGCATTCAAAAGGTTTCTCCCCTGTGTGGGTTCTTTTATGCCGTTGAAGATTGCCACTCTGACTGAATCTTTTTCTACACTCTAAGCATTCAAAAGGTTTCTCGCCTCTGTGTACGCTTTGGTGTACAAGGAGCTGTGATATATTTCTGAAGAACTTTCCACACTGAATGGATTCCTTTTCCAATATCCTGTGATTTGGGAAATGCACACTACGCTTTCTTCCATCTCTCTTCTCAAACATATGGCCGTCTTTATTTCTCTTAGGTCTGTCTCGATACCTGATGTTTTCTTTCAAGTTTTCACTGTTCACTCTATCTGGCATTTGCTGATGAAGTTCCTCCCCCTCCTCATTGTTCTGATCATTGTCTGCTGGAATAAAGAGTGAAATCCTGTTAGCATCCGGAAGGACAGGTAAGGTCCAAAGGCATGTATGGGACTGCCATAGGAAAGGACTGACGGCCCTTCCTGTGTTCTTGGCTGATTTCAATTAATTAATTTATTATTTAGATTTCTATCCCGCCCTCCCCGCAGGCTCAGGGCGGCTAACAGGGCATAATGCCAGATAAAACAATAAAACAATATAAAATGTTAAGCCTGGCGGAAGAGCTCCGTCTTGCAGGCCCTGCGGAACTGTACTAGGTTCCGCAGAGCCCGGATGTGTCTCTTCTGGTAGCACATTTCCCCATAATGGGGGGGGGTGGAGAGAGAGAGAGAGAGAGAGAGAGAGAGAGAAGAAATTTTCTCGATACTCCATGACATGTGGGGGTCACTACAGGGCTGTTCTCTCCCCACTGCTGTTTAACATCTACATGTGCCCCCTTGCCCAGCTGCATTAGTACACTGATAACACCCAGCTGTATCTGCTGATGGACAGCCGGCTGGACACCACCCCAGAAAACCTGGCCGAGGGTTTGGAAGCCATGGTGAGGTGGTTGGAACAGAGCTGACTGAGACTGATATCCCCCTACCTGTCTCGCCCCGACCTAGCCACAGTAATCCATGCAACGGTCACCTCTAGGCTTGATTACTGCAACCTGCTGTATGTGGGTTTGTCCTTAAGACTGATCCAGAAGTTACCACTGGTCCAGAATGCAGCAACCTGGTTCCTTACGGGGACACCGATAACTGCACACATACAACCTGTGCTTTGCCAGCTGCACTGGCTCCAAGTTGAGTACTGGATCAGGTTCAAGGTTTTGGTCTTGACTTTTAAGGCCCTATACGGTCAGGGACCAACGTGCCTACGGGACCGCCTCTCCTGTTATGCCCCCTGGAGAGCATGACGCATCAGCGACCAACACCTACTGGAAGTCCGTGGCCCAGAGAGCATTCGGCTGTCCTTAGCCAGGGCCTTCTCAGCCCCGGCTCAGACTTGGTGGAATGCTCTGCCAATTAACATCAGGGCCCCGTCGGATCAGTTATAATTTCGCATGGCCTGCAAGGCAGAGATGTTCTGGCAAGCATATGGTTGAGGACTGCGTTTTTTAAAGGTTTTTTTTAACAGGTTTAATTGGTCTTAACAACTAGCCGGTTCACTAACTGCTCCCCCCCCCCACCATTGCTGAAGTAAACTGCAGGACTTAAATTGTATTACGGCACCACATGATGTTGGGTTTTATGATATTATATTTTAGACTGTTGAAATGGATTTTATATGTATTTATATGAATTGGTTGTGCAATGCCCTGAGCCTCCTTGCAGGGAGGGCGGTATAAAAGCCTAATTATATAAATAAGATTAAAAAATTCTTCTGGACGGACGTAACTGTGGTCAAGATCAAAGCCCACGGAACCATCATAAGTGGGATGGATCTGTGAGGCAAAGCACCCGAGTTCCCCTCAAGGGTTAACGTGATCATTAAGTGGCCTACTCTTATATAGCTATAAGCACAAGGAGATCCAACAAAACATTACTCAAATAGTTATAAGGAAAATAATGGGAAATAGGATTTATAAATAAAGCATTGGTACTGGAGTAATTTTGAGAGGCAGAAATACTCACTCAGGCGCACCAATCAGACTTAATGATTATTATATACAAACAAGTGGAGACCCGCAAGAAACTTGCGGGATGGCTATCCTATTCCTCACACCTTTGCTTCCTCCTGTCTCCCTCTTTCTTTCTTTCTTTCTTTCTTTCTTTCTTTCTTTCTTTCTTTCTTTCTTTCTTTCTTTCAAATCCCACCCTCCCCAGGCTCCACCCCACAAATGTCCAGGAATTTCCCAACCTGGAGTTGGCAACACGATTTCCTTCCCACCCAACAGCCAACCTACCTTCATCTAGTTCTCTGTCTTCAGCTTTCCATCTCCACACCCCTCCCCCACAGCCTCTACCTAGGAAAATTACAGTCTTTCTCCACAGTGGGGACCAGTGTTCCCTCTAAACTGAGTTAGTGTGAGCTAGCTCACAGTTTTTTAGCCTCCGGCTCACACATTTTTGTCTTTGCTCAGGAAGGATGGCTCCAGAGCAAACTAATTTATGCAGTAGCCACAATCGCTCGCTCACATCTTTAATGCCAGTAGCTCACAAAGTAGAATTTTTGCTCACAAGACTCCGCAGCTTAGAGGGGGCATTGGTGGGGACCAAAGCAGCTTACATTATTCTCTCCTTTTTATCTGCACAACAACCCTGTGAGGTTGGCTAGGTTGAAAGTATGTGACTGGTCCAAAATCACCCAGTCAGCTTCCACTGCAAGATGAGGATCTGAACCTGGGTCTCACAGACCCTAATCTGAAGCTCTAACTGATGCACCGCACTGGCTTTTATAGGGTGGCTGCTGATGAACAGTAGCAAGCAGCTGGGCCTAATTGAGTCATGCAAATCAAGTGGTATCAAGTCACCCAGAGGGTGCTGCCTAGGGATGCCAGCCTCCAGGTGGGACCTGGGGATCCCCCGGAATGACAGCTCATCTCCAGGCTACAGAGATAACTTCCCCTGGAGAAAATTGATGCTTTTAAAATATAAAATTATTTATGATATGTTATAATCATCTGTGCACGGTATTTGTTGTATGTTGGTCATCCCAATGGCAGCAATTTGCACACTGGGCACCTAAGAAAGACCCTTACCCAGAGAGGCCACGGTCCCATAGTTCTCCAGCATGACTTCCCTGTAGAGGGCTCTTTGTCCCGGTTCCAGCAGGGCCCACTCCTCCTCAGTGAAACGCACGGCCACCTCCTCAAAGGAAAAGGGAGACTGAAAGGAAAAGCAGATTCCCTCATCAGAGATTGCACAATGGAAGGGAGTAGTCTGGGAGGGTACAGGATGTAAGGCCTGGGATGGGTAAAGGGAACAGCATCCAGAGGATCTCTCGCCTGGACAACTTGTAGAAACTGCAGGAGCAAAAGCTCCCCTGAGAAAGGAGGAGGGACCCAGGCTGTCCACCCCCCACTCATCTCTCCTACCTGGACTGGAGGCGCATCAGCCGTTTCCACACCTCTGAAAAGACAACAGCTCAACAGCATCTCTTCACTGCCTGTTACTGAGATAAAGGAGGAAGGAGGGGTATTGGCCATGACTCTGTGTTCCATTTGCTTGTTTCTTCCCTGCTTCATGCACTCCTTTGCAATGGGTTTGAAAACCCGCCCTGTGTACACTCAAACAAATCCTTTAAGACTTTTTACTAAATTCTGGGAGAGGAGGAGGAGATTGGATTTATACCCCACCCTTCACTACCCGAAGGAGTCTCAGAGCCGCTTATAATCTCCTTTCCCCTCCCCACAACAGACACCCTCTTTCAAGAACTGCTCCTGAGAGAACAGCTCTGAAACAACTTGTGACTGACCAAAGGTCACACCAGTAGCTGCATGTGGAGGAGTGGGGAATCAAACCCAGTTCTCCCAGGTTAGCGTCCGCACTCTTAACCAATACACCAAACCGGCTCTCAGTACCTATGAGCTTCAGGAGTAATAGATGCTGCCAACATATTCCAGATTTCCGCGAGACTTCTGTCTGGACTGGCAGGGGGGAAATGGGTGTGTGTGTAGAAATGAGGTCACGTGACACGACACCATCGCATTTGACCCAAAACCCAGGCGTGACTGGAGCACATCTGGAACATCTAGGGTAATATCAATGAGTTTTCAGAGCGTCTGTTGTCATGCTAACGTCACAACCATGTTTCCAGCCAGACACAGCATCAACATGACACCACGTCTGTCCTGAGCCCTTCCCAAAGCAACGGGGGGGGGGGTGCTGGGCCACACCCTGCCATCCCTACTCCAGCATCCTGTTTCCCGCACTGAAGAAGAAGAGAAGAGATTGGATTTATATCCCGCCCTTCACTCGGAGTCTCAGAGCAGCTTACAAACTCCTTTCCCTTCCCCTCCCCTCCCCTCCCCACAACAGACACCCTGTGAGGTAGGCGGGGCTGAGAGAGCTCTTTCAAGAACTGCCCTTTCAAGGACAGCTCTTGTTAAAACTATGGCTTGCCCAAGGTCATCCAGCAGGTGCATGTGGAGGAGTGGGGACTCAAGCCCGGTTCTCCCAGATTAGAGTCCGCACACTTAACTGAACCTCACTGGGTGCTGGTAGGCAATCCCGCCCCAATGATGTATGTGTATTATTATTATTATTATTATTATTATTATTATTATTATTATTATTAACCACGACACCAAACTGGCCCACCAGATGCCCCTGTAAGCACGGGCACAGAAGCCAAATCTTCCCATGATTATTGGGCCCCAGGAACTGGTTCTCAGCACTCTGCTGCCCCAGAAGGTGGGGGCTCCCTTGATTCACCAGGGTGCACAGCTCTGCCCAGGTTTGTCTACCTTTTCACTTTTGAGCCTGTCACGAAAGTGGGTCCCCAGTTGTTTTAAATTGTTGTTGTAAGCCGCCCTGAGCCGCCTCGGTGGGAGGGCGGGGCAAAAATCCAATTAAATAAATAAACAAGTACTTGCATTTTCTTTAGAACTGCCATTCTGTAAGTATTGTCTGGATTGTTTCCCAAGCCATGATGTACCTGACTACGCCAGTTTGGTGTAGTGGTTAAGTCTGTGGACTCTAATCTGGGAGAACCAGGTTTGATTCCCCACTCCTCCTCCACTTGCACCTGGCTGGATGGCCTTGGGCAAGCCCTAGTTCTGATAAGAGCTGTTCTTGAAAAAGAGCAGTTTCTGTCAAGAGCTCTCTCAGCCCCACCTGCCTCACAGGGTGTCTGTTGTGGGGAGGGGGAGGGAGTTTGTAAGCCGCTCTGAGACTCCTTTGGGTAGTGAAGGGCGGGGTATAAATCCAATCTCTTCTTCTTCTGACCTAATGAGCATCTGCAGGTAGTTTACCTTCCAGCAGGACAGCTGCCAGCTGTGAACTGTCAAAGTAATTGCT